AAGGCTACATCCCAGGGGACATTGTGGAGGAAGTCACGGAACAAGTCCCAATCCACTCGTTGATAGTAGAACGAGGTTCTAGTGATAGGAGGTTCTTTGCGGGGTGTGGAGTTGAAGGAAATGTTTACAGATACTACAACATGATCGGAGTTACCAAGAGGGCAGAGCTGTGTGGCACTACAAGATTCGGGGATGGAGGTAAAACACAGATCGAGAAGGGAGGCCTTACCTACCAGGTTGAGGGCAAAACACATGGGGAAGTTAACTATCTGCATGAGGGATTGAGAAATTGAGAAATTAAGTGTTTGAATGCCTGCCCGGTCAGTAGTAGCATTCTCGAGCCATTTGATATGATGGGCGTTAAAGTCACCAAACACGAATATGTGAGCAAACGGGTGGAGAGAGAGAGGGCCTTGTCTATGCTGTCAGATATGTTATCGAGTATCCCACAGTCTTGAGAGGATGGAGAGTGATAGAGGAAGAAGAGATAGCTTACGGCATTGAGGAGAGATAGTCAGAGACACATGTACGAATGGTCTGGTGATTCAAGAGACAACTCTCTGGCCAGAAGGAGATGGTCCTTGACGTAGACACCAAGGCCATGCATGTGGGTTAGAGAGTCTTTCCTGAGGAGAGGAAGGTAGCCAGGGATAGAGAGATCAGAGGAAGGAATAGACGAGACAAGATTGGTCTCACACAGAGATATCCGGGCAGTTTGCAGTGAGGAAAGATTCCATACTGCAGAAATTTATTCTAATGCCATGGATGTTGGAGAACAAAATGTTGAGGGGTTTAGGTGATTTTTGAGGGTCTGGTTTATGTTTACTTTTTTGGTTCTTTTGAGTCTTCATGTGGAGTAATTGTTGGAAGATGAGAAGGCCTGAAGTAAGAGAAGCAGATGTTTATCGACCGCGACATGAACAGAGAGGAGTTGGCATCAGTTGGAGATTCTAACCTCTAGGCTATCAGCACCTGGCAGAAAGAAAGGCAAATTTTTCCATAAACACTCCAGTGACCTAGAGGACTCAATCCATTGAGAGAGTCTTGCATTATTAGCAGTTATGGGCACTATTTACACACACACACACACACACACATATATATAATATATATATATAAAGCAAACTAAATTTTCTAAATTTGATATTAAAAAAAGTTCTTTAGTTTCTAATAGTTGTCAACAATTTTGTCTTAGTAAATCTGGCTGTAATATTTTATTAACAGAAAATGTTCTTATTTAGCTTTTCTTGATAATAGATTATTAAATTATATTCACCTTATGACAGAAAAAATTGGGTTTTTCCTTTATAAATGTAGTGCTTGTGAGCATATTTTAGTGGTAGCATATTTATTTGAAGAACTATGTTCAAAATCACACTATATTGATGAGGTTCATTACCACATACTAGAGCAGAAAACAAATATGTTAAAAAAAAATAATTTCTTTAAAATGCCTACAATATGTGTATGCATTAAATTTTATGTCTGTCAGTTTTTATGATAAAAGTTAATTGTTATTAACCAACTGATGTCAGTGAAATTTTCAGGATATATTTATATAAATAATGCTATGTGAGTTTCATTTTATAATATCTATCCGTATTAAAAAAAAATATTGATAACTTGCTTGGGTGGGGGTCAAGATTTATTATGCAAACAAACTTAGGGTAACATAAATTTTGCTTTCTAAATAAATGCAAAAGATATAAACCATAAGAACATATATTTGATTAACCTAATATTACATATATCTAAATAAATTATTAGTCGTATACATATTAATATGGGTTGCTTGGCATTCTGTAAGCACCATCAGTCTTTCATTCATTCAATGATTTTGTTAACTTTTCAAGTTTAAGATTATTTTCAATAATTTTTATTGCTTCCTGGAGATCTTTACTTTAATATTATTTTCTATTCCCATATACACATTTCTTTTAATGAGTTTCCTATTGGATATCTTCAGATACTGGGGGCCCATTTTCTTAATTTATTATCTTTTGGGGTCAAGGTGGGTAACAGTCAATTTTGCAGAATGTGAAAAAACAATGTCTTGCATGAATATATTCTTTAGCTTCTTGACTGTGACATGTACTACTCCAAAATGTCTTGTCCAAGAACTTAGAATAATTCTTTGCATTTATCTTGATACCATCATCCATTTTGAAGAAGCTATAATTTTACTACCTATAATACTAATCAAAAACATTACTTCACCTCCCCACTGTTTTTGTCAAGTTGATTAACTATTTTCATGAACCTCTAACTCAGCTATAAGGTTCATCCAATGTGACTCTATATTCATCACCAACAATTGCTTTTGAAAAGTTAGTTTTCATGTATTTCTTTACTTAGATTGCACATTTCTCTTTGAGATGTTTACTTCAGTTGCTTTCATGTCTGTAGCCAATGTTCTTAATATTATACATCTTTTCTTTCTGTTTACATTTGCAACACTAGCATCTTTAAATAGTTTTCAGTTAGTCAATTCCTTTTTCTTGCTTATCAAGAGTTTTACTTTTTTCAATCTCTTTGAAACATTCTCTTAAGCTAATTTTTGTTTTCATTGTTCGATGACCTCAAATCAACTTTTTTCAGTTTCCAGAATTATGTTGCCATCATGCAATGACTTTACAATATATTGTTTCTTTTTTGAGGATAAAAAACTTTCTTCCAAATAATGACAATCTTTATATATCCAAAAAAATAATTATCAGTAATTATACTATTATGTACAATTATATATTTCTTTACAACATGATTAACTACTCACAAGTTCTCACACCACCACATAAGTTATTGTAAATATTTTAAAAAAATCAGATACTGAAATTTACATTGTTTATGAGTATATCCTGATAATATTACCAACATCAACTGATTAATACCAATTGTGAAAATATTGATTTCCATAATAAAATTTGATAAAGTGTAATGTAAAAATTATTTTAACATTTGAAGAGTTAAGGGATACCATCAAGCTTTAATAGTTTGAGAATTATGATCCAAAATGTACATTTAAAGAAACTCTGATTTCTCCTAGAGAAAGAGTAATGCTAGAATTCATAATTGTGTGCTTTTGTTTAATTTGTGAATTTATTTGCTATCGAGCAACACAAAAACTTTGAACAAATCCTCTTGGCTGTTACTTTTTTTTAATTTAATGACAAAACTGTTTCTCTGATTAATAGATGTATGTTTGGAGGTTGAAATTAAACATGTCTTTTCAAAATAGAAAAACTCATTCACTCACTCATATGAAAACCATCTTCTTCCTTTTCTATATTCTCTCTTCATTTTTGACTTTGAATTCTTATCCTCTTTCTTCTTTCTTTCAGTTCTCTTTTTTTTCAACCATTAATCTCTTTCTTTTTTATTCTCTCTTTTTATATCATTTTTATGCCTGTTTTCTCACTATTATATTCACTTGCTCATTTTTACTTCTTGCTCTTTTTCTTTTTTCTCTTATTACTCCTCTTTATAGTTGTTTACTCCTTTCTTTTCTTATCTCTTTCTTTCTTGCATATAAAGGAGAGACTCTACTATACAAATTTCCATATTACTGATGAAATTATTTGAAATATGAGCTTGTCATCTTCAATACATTTGTAGCCACTTATTTCCATCCCAGGCAAGAAACCTCACAAACTCTGTCCCTCTTACTCTTCCATTTGCTGCTTGTGTTTTCAGCCAATTCACTACTACCTGAAGCCAAACATGAGTTGTATCTGATGACAGCTGAGTTATTCAGATGATAAAATAATTCTATATTTCCTCCACTAATATCCGCATTGCTGTCAGCTCTCTTTACCTTAAAACTTTACCAATGGCTAACTCTTTAAGTTTTCTTGTCATTGTTATTATGAGGGTCATTTAACTAGCCTAAGATATAGCAGGTGCTTGTATATGTTCATATCAACATTTGTTTGAATTTCTCTTGAACTCCTCTCTTCAGATGAAATGCCAACTGACAGTTTAAAAATTCTGTCCACACAAATGACATTAACTAGAGATATAAACTTGTTTTTCAATTTGCATAACGTATTGTAAAATAAATTTGACTTTATAAGATTACAAATTTGCTCAATATTAAGAATAAAATTTAATTTAACTTTTTGACTAATATTTTTTGCATTTAACAATTTTAACTTTTTTAATTAAATATTTTTGAATTACAGAATATTCAATACAGAAGTATTATTTTAATTATATATTTATTCCAAGCTGAAACTTGTATCATTTCATTTATATTCCTGCCCTACTGTGAAAACTTTAGCATCAATACAGAGTCAGAATAATAAATCTACCATAGTATTTAGTGTTTTTTGGACTTTTAACATATTACACAATATTCTTTTTTTTTTTCTTTTTTTTCCATCATTTGTATTAAAGTTAGGGTATGGGTAATATAATGACATATTCTGTCCATAGACAGAATATATGAATTTATTTATTTCTTCTGAATCCATAAAGTTTAAATTAAGCTACAAACATTACTTTTTAGTTTGAATATTTTTTAATATTTCACTCGTTTTAAGTAAACAGGATGTTTTCATGTAACTAACAATTTCTTTTGTTTTGTTTTTAAACATCCTTTACTTTCAGCATTTATAGTCACGTTGATAGTCATTATCAAACAAAACAAAGATTACAAAATTGAAATCTCTCATGAAACCATTGAATGTTTGCATCCATTTTCATTTTATGTATAAATACCCCACCCTGCTTTATATATATATATATATATATATATATATATGTGTATATATGTGTGTGATAAGAGCTGTGAGTATTTAGCAACCAATAATTCCTTATAATCCAATCATTAGTAGGCTTAAATGCTTTTTATCAACCATTCCCACAACAGAACTTCATTAACAAAATGAATATGTAATCTGATTTAATTTCCGAAAGAACTGTCAATTTATAACTAGTTATTTATCCAACTGATTTCCTTCTTTATTTCTTACCTGTACTATTTTAATTATTTTACCTTTTAGGATGCTTCTATTTGTCATCGTTTCCATACTATGAGAGAAAAGCATCCAGAAAAGTTTAATAGCAGGTAAGACCTTGAGCCTATCTTACACATTAGCTGCTGTTTAAATTTAATCTCTTTACTCCACATATTGAATATTTACTCTAAGCTAGTCATATATTTATTTATTTCATCAACATTTAAACATTGCCATTTTTTTTAGAATATCTTTATTTAAAAGATTAGTATGATAGTCTAAAATTATTACCCATACTAAAGTAATAGTAAATGTTTAATCTTTTGTATTTTATTTAAAATTGTTTTACAGCAGTATGTTTTGGTAGATGCTGTGAAGCAAAAAATCGTGGAATATCAGTAAATTTAAAGATACTGTTAGTATATATTAGAATTTAATAAGATTGAATTCATTATTACAATATGAATTATTACAAAACTTTTTAAAATCATTATGACATTAGATAAGTTTAACCAAAATAAAAATCTACATTTTTCGTGTTTAATCTAAAATATACATTTGTTTATTGTACTTATTTTGTTACAGATATGAAGTAATTTAAAAAAGTTATAAAATGTCAACAGCTAAAATTCTTTTAATATACTTATATATCTATTGTTGTTTCAAAATTTTAACCGTTTTATTATTTTGAATTACTATGCAATAAATTTTGATTAATAATGTTAATTCTTCAATATTAAAGGTTAAGATGAGCTTGTAAAATTTTTATCATTTTGCATAGATTACATGACAGACATGTTAGCACCGATGTGTTGAATCTCAATTTCTTTAAACTGAAATCTTGTATACAAGCCAGGCATAGGAAAAAAGCCAGCTAAATTTTCAAGATTGTCTTTTTTGCAAAATACTATCAAAAAGAACTTCTTTCAGTATTTGTGACAATATAACTGCAATTACTATTTCTTACTTAAAAACTACATATTGAAGATATTTATAAAGAATTAATGGATGTATTTTAATCCAACACTTTTATTACTTCAAATAGTTTCTATAATAATGTTTGAAGTCATAAAAATATTGAAGATACAAAAAAAAGAATTTTTCCTATTCTATCAGTCTTTATTTTATCCATTTGTATGTATGACAATACATTTGTCTAGTGATTGAACACCCAGTCATTTAGTATAGTGAGTTTGATCCTCACTGTCTTCTCTGTACTAGTGGCATTGTAGCAAGAATAAGTTTTATAAATAACTATTGCTTTGTCACTAGAATTAGGTCAGTTGCAGATGCCATTTCACTGCAGTATTATGGTATTTGTCATTTTTTTTCTAGACATTTTTTGAGCTCTTCAGAATTGTTCCCAGTATTTTGATTATGACGATATTCAGTCCCCCCCCCCACGAGGGTGTCATGTGGCACAAGGCCTTTTTAACGTGGGCGCTACGAGCCCGTGGGCTCGGCCAAAAATATGCCCATTGAACCCGTATAAACGGGTTTAGGGCCAGTTTACCTCTCCAAAGGAGACTCCGCCCTTCGGCGAAGCCTCCTTCGGGTTCCTCCCGTCCGTAGGAAGAGAGTTCAACCGAACAGTCGGTTCAAAAGTGAACTACTGACTGACTAATTTTGATTACGACTGTCACATTCCATAATTTCCTTAAGTCTTTGGCAAAGTGAAGATACTTACCTGCTTTACACTTACTTTAAATTTATTCTGTAATTTACCAAATTTGTCAAATATATAAGAAAGTGGATTGAAATTTCTGAAGCTATTTGTAAGTAAAACAGGATGCATATGCATAAAAAACATAATAGTATTTTTTTTTTTAATTTCTGTATAATTATTTGCTAATATTTTCAATTATTATATTTATTTATTTATCATTCCAGAATTAAAAATAAAATGTGGTACTTTGAATTCGGTACCTCTGAAACATTTTCTGCCACTTGCAAAAATCTACATGAGTCCATTGAAGTTTCTGTAAGTATACTATTTTTTCAATATTTTTATGTCATCAATACCAAAAACAGTTAATGACAGCCATTATTGAAAAATTCAAGTGACCTGTGAAATAAAGCTAATTAAGCACATATCTGTGGACTATTAACACACCCAAAATGCTTAAAGTTCACTTAGTGCTATTGTGTAATTTTATCATAAAGTTTCATTGTATACAGTATCACAGTAGAAATTAACAATCCATTACTTTTACAGTTGTGGCCATAAGATGATCTGAATTTTGTAAATTCAGTAAGCATAGATTTAAAATGTATAAAATTACTGATTTTTGACTTAGATTTTTGTAGACTCACTCTAAATCTTCAATGGAGGAAAAATGTAATATTATAAGCATAACATTCAAGTATAAATGGCTAATAATGGGAATGCACAATATTGTGACATATATTGTTTTTACTTGTATACAGTATATCATTAAAAAACAGAAGCAGTTTCATTCATAGAAGTTATACAAAAAAATTATACCAATAATTTGATTAACAACAGTGGATAGTGAGCAAGAAATAAAACAGATTCTAAATGGTGGTTCTTCAAATTGAGTTTGACTCACTCTTATGATCAATAACAGCTTTTATAATCATGTGGTAAATATGATCTCTCCAAAACCACTCCAACCTCAGAGTAAAAAAAAAAAAAAAAATCAAACTAAAACATTTGAGGATTCCTAATAATTCTGAAGAACCTATTTTTAAGATTCCTTAAGCCAAGATTTCTACACAATATTTTTAGGGTTATAGATTTGAACATTTTGCTTATATTTGGATATGTTTGTTTTTTTTTTATTTCCAGAGTGAAGGTCACTCATTAGAAATAAACAAGGGTCCAGGCCTAGAGGGCATTGCAATGTTAAACATCCCAACTATCTATGGAGGTGCCAATCTGTGGGGTGAGAATGTAAGTAAGAAGCAAAGACAAAAACTACTAAAGAGTGTCAAAAAGAAGAAAGACCAAAATCCATTTCCACAAAGCAAGATAGAGCTTCAGGCTGCAATTACAGGTATGGATCTATAATTAATTCAAATTAAACCAGGGTTCATTATTAGGATTATCTCTTGTAAAGCAAAAATCTCTTGCTAAAAAATTTTGATTCATTTTTTTAGCAAGAGATTTTTGCTTATTAAATACAACAAACCTCTTTGAATTTTAGATTGTGAATGTTGTATTTTGTCATATTTCTACTATAAGATTTCTGTTAGCTTCCTGTAATTAATATTTGTGAAATATATAACCATTGGTTTGTCAAATTACCATTTATTATGCTGACTTTTATGTGTACCTGCATGCTTGCTTGAATGTATAATTATCCAGTTTATTTCTTTCAAAAAAATATTAATCACTTTTGTAGATATTGGAGATAAATTGTTTGAAGTTGCTGGAGTAGAGAACAGCCTTCACGCTGGTATGGTCAGTGGGAAGGTCAGATCGGGTAATCGTCTGGCACAGACTGCTGCCCTGGAATTGAAGTAAGTTTTTCTCTGTTTTTGTTTTTATCAAAATAAATACTTTTCAATTTAGCCAACAAGTACAAATTTATTTTCTCTGATAAATCGCTGATGATTTTTTCCCTTCAGGACTACAAAACGTGTACCAATGCAAATTGATGGAGAACCTTGGGTACAGAATCCTTGCACAGTAAGTGAATGTGTTTGCATCTCTGTAGAATTTCATTTTTGTTATTAATATATCAACCAAAAATACACAATACAAGAATTGAATTTTGTTATTATTCAACTTCTATGTTTAAAGTTAGCATGGCTCGTCCTAAATAAGATGATATAAGACTGGCATTTATTTCTATTATTGGTATATTTGTCACTGAACAAATGAGAGCTCAATCCTGCTGCTAGTGATAAGCTATGATACCTTTATCACTTATGTCAACATAACGACTTAACTATTAACTTTTGACCTGATAATTTTTGAGGAATGTATTCTACTTTTAGTTTTAAATTATCCTTGCACTTCAAGTAAAATTTATATACTTATATATTTTGTTTCCACAAAAACCATTCATATCCTTTGGGAGTTCATTTTTGTATATATTAACTTTCTATTTCTACAAGAGTGAAAAATTTCGAATTTTATTTAGTATATTGAGTACTTCATCCAGATCTATGCAGATTTAAATAATTTTCTTGTAACTTGTCTACAAAACCTGTTTTAATATTTTGCATCACCCACTGATTTATCTTCATTTTTTAATACAACAAATAAATCTAATTTGCTTATTACATTGATAATCTGTAAAACAATAAAAATAAGAAAAAAAGCCAAGAAATGTAATAAGTTTATTTGATTATTCAATACAGAACTTGAAGCATTCAGCTCCAGACTAAACTTTGCTACCAGAATTAAAAAAAAAAAGCAGACCTATCCACCACAATAATTATGAACAAAAACCATGATGATACAGATTGTAATAAAGGTTTCACACAAGGATTAATCACTGCTACTTTAGCAACAATGTTACCATAAAGACACAAAAGTACTAGAAAATTTAACCAACAATAAGAACATTTTCCATCACTGCCTTGGACAAAAAGGTAGGATTAGGATTGAATATGAATACCTGCAATGAAAAAAATAAACTTTTATTCAATGATACAAACGTTTATGAAAAAAAATCAATGAACATAAAATAATTTCTGAGACAGAAAAATTCAACAAATCAGTTAGAATGTTACTTAACAATGAGGATAAGACATGGCCAAAAGTGATCAGATATCACCATAAAAACTAGACAGATAATAAAAATATAAGAATACATATTTTTTTTTAATCATAAAAACGGATTTTAATTTTTTGGCTACTAATAACCTTTACAGTTGCTTTTGAAGGATAATTTGATATTTTTATGCTTTTTGTTTATTTGCAATTTTTATTTTTGTATTATAATAATCACTATTCTAAAAATGTAGCAATAGTCTCTTTTCTTTTTCCTTTTAACTTAAAGTGACAGCTAAAGATACCAATTCAAAAGATAATTATATCTAACTAAAGATTTGGAATTTTTATCTTTATGTTGAAAAACTTCCTTTCCTACAAATTAATTTTCTATGATGGGACAATCTAACTTTATTTTTATTTACTTGAGTAGGAAGCTGATAACACTTTGTAGCTAAAAGGCAGCAAATATCTGGGTCTGGGGTTGCTCACTGGATACTTTAATTTCTTGGTAATAAGAATAGTAAATATTACTTTCCCCAAAATGAATTCTTCAGATTTCAAGTAGCTGGAGATAGAACCGTGTAAACTTTATCTACATGAGCTGATGTTTTATCCTAGTCATAATTTATGTACAGAATACTTCTTGGATTATCTGGATATTCATCTTATTCTGTAATGTTCGTTTGCTGAAAGGGAATGTTCATTTTATATTGATAATTTCTTGTTTTGAAATTGATTACTGTATCAATGAGCACATATAATGTTGTTCTGTTAACTTGTTGCACATATAATGGAATCTTAACTCATTGGATTATGAATAATTAAAGATGACATTAATTATTTTTTCTTTACAAATGATTAGTAATATATTGCTATTTCTCAAAATATACTAAATTTTTTTAATTGCTTTCATACACAAATAAAACTGTTACTGATTTCTATGTTAAAATTGTTTTTCATTTCAGTCAAGTGATTTAATTGATATTTTTCAATTTTTAGATTACCATTAAACACAAAAACCAGGTGCCAATGTTAGTTGGACCCAAGGAAAAAGCTGGTGGTGGATTTCTCAAAATCTTCCGATGATAGGAATAATATTAAATGGTATGGTACCTAATGTTTATTTAGCTTTATGGTTTTAACTTTTTTTAGAACAAAGTATAAGAGGGGGAGTGAGAATATATACCTTCATGAATAGCAAATATTTCTTTCTCTGTACTAAATAATAGAACTTGTGTTCCAAACTGTAAAACACTTTTTATATTGTCTTTTTGTTAAAATAGCTGGTTTTATTGCCAATAATATTGGCTGTTCATTGTAATTTGTGCTAAGAATAAGTTTACAATTTAAAAGAAACGCATGACTTCATTAAGCTTTCAATATGAGAAAGGAAAATTGTAGGATGAGAAATGAAGGCAAAAACTGAACTTAAAAATGTAAATGAATTGTTTTGATTTTGGTAAATTTTACATTTAATTTTTTTTTTTTTTCTTTTTTTAGAAAAGTAATTAGATTTTAGAAAGGTACAGAAGGCATATGTTCAGTGACAAGTGGGTTCCCTATAACAAATAAAAATCATGCAATGTTCTAGTATGCTTTTGAACTATCTGTTAATGTGTAAATTATGCATTAAACTATTTAAAAACTATCAATCAATTACTTAAAATTAAAAAAAATTCTGTTTTTGCATTTGGTATCTACTGCCATTAATATGTACAGTACATGTACACTGAAATTACTAAGAAATACACTATTTTTCCACAAAAATTTTAATTGTACCCTTTTTTCTTATGTATTTTTTAAAAATTGTATTTATCCATTATGAAAATTAAATGATAACATTCTTGCTATGGGTGGACCCCTTTATCTCCTGGCAACCAATAATTTTAGATCCAATCTGCCATTGTATATATTAGTGTTTGCCTAGTAACAGTTTTTAATTTTAGAAAGCAGATTATCAAGCTTTTTTTTATCTAGAAACTAGAATGGTTTAAAAAATTACAAACCAAATTCATTTTATAAAGTACTTATATAAGCTACTTTCTTATTACCATTTGTCAAGTTTTAACAGCTCTGATAATCTTTAGTAAAATATATTTTATTAATGATGGTGTTTTCAGAAATGAAGGAGAAATATTGATTACATTGCCATTTTCTATAGTTTTTTCTACTGCAGTATATTAGTCACCCAAAAGAAATAGTGTTCTGCCTAAAAGGAATGTTATGCTTATGCAATTTTACTTTTTGTTCTTTAGTCTATTGAACAGAGAAAGCTGTCTGGGTTCAAATCCTTTAGTGAGTTGAAGGTTACTTTGTAAAAATTCTTTATCTACCTCTTTTACTGTCAAAAATTATAAAAAGATCTTAACAGAATCATTAGTCTCTCACTTTTACATAGTTTATGAATATGGAACATTTTACTGCTCTGTTAGTATTAAAGATTACATTTGTTCTTGTAAAGTGTTTTTTCTATGGCAAGTATGTGTTAATAGGTTTTATCCAATTAACACCTTGTAAAAATACCTGATGTTGCTCAGCCATTATAACAAGAAAAATTCACAAAGTGGTCAGAATGGCATTGCAAAATCAGCATCATTATCATTTTTTAAAATGGAATATATTTGAAATATTCTGTTTGCCGTTAAAAAAAAAAAAATAAATTTATTTCCATTTTTGTTTCAGCACAGCATATTGGCCTTAGTAGGAAGAAGATCCTAGATGTTATAAAATTACCATCCCTCTCCACAATGACCATTGAATAAAAGCAATTCAAAGGATAAATGGAGTCAAGAATGCAGAACCCACACTGGAACATAATAATATTACTATTACAATGGATATTTCTCTTCCTACTACTATATCAATAATCTTTATTATTATTATTATTATCACTTTTATCTATCTACCAGCCACCACTGACTAATTCTGTACCTACATGCTACTACCACAAACACCTCTGCCGTGCAGGCATTCCCTTTACTAGAATTCAGTTGTCCATGTTGTCATACACTACAGGATAGAGGCTGGGTAGATACGTCTCTCTGCCTCACTTACTGATTCTTGGAGATGCAAAGGTCTCAGCAATAACCTCTTAATGGCTATTGCTTAGTAGTTTTGATCTTGATTCAGCCTCTGGCCACTTGTAGCCCCAATATCTTCTGTCAATCACTTCATGAAATTAATGCCTTCCTGTTTAATATTTGTTCATATTTCTACCATGTTATATACATTGTTTGAATGGGTTTTTTTAATATCCAAATTATGAAAGAAAAAATTTTTAAAATTTAAAAAAAAAAAAAAAAATGATAAAGAAATATGTCCTAATAAATTTCAACTGCACCCCCTTTTGTTATCTCTTTATTTTTTCTTATTTTTGGTTGTCGCATTTTTCACTTGTGTGACATTTCCTTTTTCCAAGTCAATATGTATATTATTACTTCTTCCACTCTGCAATCACATCTGGTTTGATAAATAGCTTACCAAAAAAAAAAATTAAACTCCAAATATTCAAGGCAGCAGAGACAAATAGCAAAAGAAAAACAAGCGTGTATCTCACACACACACACACACACACACGACTTTTCTTTCCTATACATAATCCATAATCATATTTTTGTTCCAATGGGATCTGCTTTTATATGCTTGTTGTCCATTCAGAAGTTGAGAGGAACAAGAAATCTCCCATTGTTTCCATCTCAAGATGGGAAATTATTCCAGACTGCAACACTCAGTAGACAGTAACTCTCAGCACTGCCAACATTAATTAATACACAACCACCACCACCACGATTATTATGATACAATAAATAAATAGAACAACATGGTACATGTGCCTCATTTTGTTGATGCACTATCCAATTGCACAGCTGTAGACATGCCCACTGCTACAGCAGTCACAAAAAATTAAGTACTGACAATTACACATAAATAATAATGCACACACTATTGTTACAAATATAAACAACATATGTTACCCTTATGGTAAAAATTAGTGAAATAATGTAGCTGTACAAATAAATTAACATTAAAATGTAGCAAAAAAAAAAAAAAATCTGTGGTTTTTGTTATTTCTTTTATTGTTTTTGATTTCTGATATTTATTTCTCTCCTCTAACCACCACTGACCTATTGGTTTTTATTATTAACCTTTGTTAGTTTCATCTTTAATACTATTAACCCTTACCTTAGTATTAAAATGATTTCTATATTATGAGCCTAAACATTACTCAAATTCCATTTTAGTATGTCCTAAATTCAGGTCATTACAAGTGACTGCCACAGGGCACCTACAGATGTCCTACCATATCTGTTATGCAGCAAGCATAAACATCCAGATTTCATTGCTTTCACATTAGCTTATGCTTAATTTTTTAATCTTTTACCCTGACTTCATCTTCCATATTTGAACTTTTCCTAATTGTGTAAATATATATTTTTCAAGAAAATATGTTACTTAGACAAAAGAAATTCAACAAATGAGATGTTATCATTTTTTATGGGTGGGTAGATATGTTTGAAATAAAGACTTTCAATTGTTTCTTTGTAGTCAGGAAAAACATGTCACTATATAGAAGCAATTACTTGAAAAATTCTAGATATTACTTTTTTTTAACATGAATTCATTTTTAAAATCAATAACTTTCAATTCTAAAACGAAGATTAAGCATTAATTTTTTAAAATAATGATTCTTTTTATTATTTTTGTCAATTGCTTTAAAGGATAAATTATAAACTTATCAGGCATGTATAAAAAATTCATTTTAGTATGATGTCATTTAATATTTATCTTTGTATATGAATGCATACACACATATCCACGTATATACTTATTTTTAATAACTTATCTTGCAGTGCTTAGCAAATTGCCATGAATTCGTCTAAGCATATCTGTTTTGGGCTGAGTGGTAACAGTTAGTGTTTTTAGAATGGAAACTGAAATTTATTCCAGTCTTTTGAAATTTAGCTTGCATATATTATGTTTTATAACCTCCAACATTTTGCAAGACTAAACATATTTTAGAAATTATTCAATAAATTTGGCCTACTTGCATTGGTTTTCTATTCAGCATTTTATTAATATCAATTTCAAAGAGATTTTTTCTCTGTATTTTTCAGAAAATCCAATCTCTGATCCTCTTTGCCACTCCCACACCAATTTGTTTTCTGTATGATCAGTGCTGCCATCTGGTGGATTATACTGAGGTTGTATTCCTTTGTAAACACTCAAAGGACCTGACTATATGGTGCTGTCTGTTCAAGATTGAAGAAATCTGGACATTCCTCTGTCGTACTATTTTATGGAATTAATCCAATCCTATTAAGTGTCTACATCCAAAGTAGTCTGACAATGACCGAAACAAGAGACAGAAAAATTTTAAAAATCTTTATAAAAATTTAAGAACTTATTGTAAACTTACAACAGATGTGTAACCTACATTTTATTTCAATTTGGTAATGTATGGATCTGTCTTCCATTTATTAAATATACATTTATTAAAAAAAAGAAAGAAAGGAATATGAAAAACACAATGACGTTCATAATATGATTTTTTCACAAAAACCATCCAATGTAATCCTCTTCTAGTGCTTTTCCTTGACATTCTCCTTGTTTTCATCTGAGAATTTCAAGTTTCAGTCTATTCAAAAACTTCATGAGCCTTAATTAGTTTTCTTGCATAGTTGCTTAATGTTTTTAAAAGTTCAGCTAATTCTTAATAATTGTCTTGCTGACATTTTTCTATCTCTCAAGAATAAAAGATGAAAGTTGGAGAGCAGTAGCCTAATTATTATTTGATGAAAAATATCTACTTTAGATTGAAAAGGCACAAATAATCCTTGTTTTCTCTCTCTCTCATAGAAATGGTAAATCCACTTCACAAATGAGGAGTTATTTTTATAAAACCTTTATCAAATGGTTAGCATGGTGATTGATTTCATTTTCTATAAGAAATATTGTAAATTCTACCATCTTAAAGAGAACAGAAGACAATGCTGCCAAAATGGTGTCCTCATGCCTTGAATTAGTTTGTAAGGTTTCAGTTTCTGATTCTCTTGTGTGATTTGGTTTTTGTAGAAGAAAAATATTTTCTCTATTTTTAGTCTGAATTTAACAAAAAATTATCATTAGATCACTGACCATTTTTTCAAGGGAAGTTGTATTTCTATCATTGACTAATGGCAAGACAGAGCAACCAAGAAGTGATCAGACTAGAAAATAAACTATTTCCTTGCTATATGTACAAAATGTGTGCAAGCAAAATTAAAAATTGTCAATTCCTGTTTCTGCCCAAGTGCTCTTATTTTGTTTATCACATTTTATCTAAATGATACATGTGGCAATATGATTTCTCAGGAGAGAAACATTATTCTCAGATAGTGTCAGCTTGTAAAGTATAAACATTCTGGACATCACATTACTATTCCTTATTTTTAGTCTTCCTCTTATGGTATATTTTAATTAATCTGTAGCATATATGGTCATGTTACAGATTTACTTGATTTAAGATTTAAATTGTTTTAGTTATTTTTATCATTGCTGCTGTCATGTTTAACATGTCAAAAATTACTGCCCAATGTAATACTATTATTATAAATACTATTACTGCCCAATGTAATACTATAAAATGTAATACTATAAAATTTAAAGAGAATAAAATATCATTCATGTTGTTCTATTTACTGTTGTATAGGGAACTCCAGATAAACACAATCCTTGCTATTATGATAAGATTTTCGAAGCAAGGGTGGAAAAAAGTTAATAATCAATTACTTTACTGAGTGTGTATGTACAGAAGAACCTCTTTATAGATTACAAATGGGTATAAACTAGCAAAAATGTAAACCTTTACCTATTGTATGCAGATATAGATAAATATAGGCATGCATATTTTCATAAATATTAAGACAAAATGAAAATTATATAAAGTTTCAAAATAAATTTTATTGCCTTGTTTTACCTTTGATCAAATCCTACATGTTACTGATCAAGGTTTTTTTTTATGTTTTTACTGTTATTTCTTAATATATCTTACTGATTGCAGCTTTGCTCAGGACATTTTCTCTTTTTTCCTCACTCTTAAACTGCCCCTAATGATGAATTAATTGAAATGTTAAGAATAATAACAAACCCACCTCAAACCATCAATGCAGTTTCTCTCAATTTTATGATTCACTGATCTATGGAGATAGCAAATGGTACAAAAATTATCTTTTAATAAAAAAAAAAAAGTAATAGTATTCTTATTCATCAATAGGTATTGCATTGTTCACCATGTTGTTCTTTTTCATATCAGTCTACAGGCTCATCTTTAATGTACCATTTTCTTATAAACATTGGTGAATTTCAGTTCAACCATCTAAATCTTAGCTAAGTTTTTCATCTGCAAGCATTCTGTATCATTTACATGTAAAATCCCCAGTAATATGAATATCTCTTGTGCTCTCCATTCTGTTCACTAAATACAAAATTGAATATCACCACAGAATATTCACAATCTTCCAAGGATAATCATGAGCCATATAAATTTTAGATTTCAATCAAAGTGGACTGAAACTTGCTTAAATTGTTTTAATGTCATATTTTTAATTTATTCATTTTTAAATAATCTTCAGCAAGGCAAAATATTTCCTTAAATGTGTGGGAACTTTTTCCGTTTATTATTTTCTTTGTTGAAAAATAATTGTTATTTTTAAGTTTTGGGGT